AGAGAAAGACAGGAAAGGGAAGGGAAGGGAAGGGAGGGAGGGAGGGCGAAAGAAAAGAAAAAAGAAAAAAGAAAAGAAAAGAAAAAAGAAAAGAAAAGAGAAAAGGAAGGATGGAAGGAAGGAAGAAAAAGGGGTTGAGAGGCTGAGAGAAAGGGGTGAAGGGTTAAAGACATACAGATTAGTAGTTGATAGATGGTCACGGGGATGGGGAGCATGGCATAAGGAATGCAGTTAGCATTAATATATTGGCTATGTGGAGAGCCAGAGGAGAGTAAGAGCAATCAGGGGGATCATTTCATAAACTACATAAATGTCTAACCAATGTACTGTATACTTGAAACTAATAATAAAATAAAATTTAAAAAGAAAGAATGAATGAACAATGGAGAGAAAAAAATGCATGCAGAGAAATTGTATCATGTACATTATGAGTGGAAGGTAAAATGGCACAGCTCCTCTGAAAAATGTTTTTAGCAGTTTCTTATAAAACTAAACATGGAATTACCACATGACCCAGAACTGTCCTCTTGGGCATTCATCTCAAAGAAATGTAAACTTATATTTACACAAAAATCAGTACATGACTGTTCATAGAGTTTAATTTGTAGCAGCCAAAAATTGGAAATATTACAGATGTCCTTTAATGGGTGAAGAGATAAAACAAACGGCTATCCATCCATCCCATGGAATAGTACTCGACAATAAAAAGGAAAGAACTATTGATACATGCAATAATTGGTATGAATCTCCAAGAAATTATGTTTAGTAAAAAAAAAGCCATGCCAAAACATTATATAGTATTTTATTCCATTTAAATAACAATATTCAAATGACAAAATTATAGAAAGGGAGTTCAGCTCACTGTTTGCCAGAGGTTAGGATGGGACAGGGTAGGATGGAAGGGTGACCAGAGGGAGGTAGTTATGGTTATAAAAGGACAATATGAAGGGTCTTTGTGGTGATGATGGAAATGTTCTGTATCACAACTGTGGTAGTGGACAGATATACTGACTCATGGAATAAAACCATATAGACCTAAATACACGCACGCACGCACAAATGTGAATTTAATCAATGTCAGTATCCTGGTTGTGATATTTCACTATAGTTTTGCAAGGTGTTATCATTGGGGAAAATAGGTAAAGCATAAATGGAATCAATGTATAATTTCATACAACTGCACATGAATCTAAAATTTTCTTAAAATAAAAAGCTTAATTAAAAAAGAGCTACCACTGACTTGTATTAAGAATGTTGGTAAATCTAGATTAAACAGTGCTACTTGGGATATGTATCATTTCTAACTCATTAAAATGGGGAAGGATGAACACAGATGAAGAGGCAGTTTCTTGACCACTGTCATTTCCCAATAAAGTTGTGTAATACATTGACTCTGCTGTTTTCAAGGCTGATTCCTGCTCTTTCTGGCATTTCTATAAATAAAATAGTTTTCAAAGGCTGTAGTATAAGAACATCCATGAATTCTATGCTGGGTGAAACTGTTCTTTAGGAAAGAAGGGAAAATAAAGACATTCTCACACAAAGAAAAACTAAAAGATTTTGTCCCCAGCAGACTTACTCTTCAAGAAAGGTTAAAGGAAATCTTCTACCAGTAAGGATATGATGAAAGGAGGAATAAAAGCATAAGAATGAAGAAAGAAAAATGGAAAGAGCAGAAATACAGATTCGGAGAAAGTGGATCACTTATACGTAGCTGGCAGGAATGTAAAATGGTACAGCCACACTGGAAAACAGGCAGTTTTCTCATAAAATTAAACTTGCAATTAACATATAACCAGCAATTGAACTCTTGAGTATTCATATCAAAGAAATGAAAACTTCTGTTTACAAAAAAAAAAAATTCCCTCTACATGAATATTCATAGCAGCCTCACTCCTAATAGTCAAAAACTGGGAGGAAAAAAAAGGCAAAATTTTCTTCAATGGATGAATAGTTATAAACTATGTCAGATCGGATCTATACCATGGAATGCCACTCAGCAATAAAAAGGAAGGAACTAGTGATACATGCAACAACTTGGTTTAATCTCCAGGGACTTGCATTGAGCAAAAAAAAAAAAAAAAACCAATATCAAAAAGTTATATACTATACACATCCAACTATATAACACTTCTGAAGGGACAAAGTTCTAAAGATGAAGAGTAGATCAGTGGTTGTCAAGAATTAGGGATTGGGGAATGGGAAGGGTAGGGCTACCAGAGGGTAATAAGTGTGGTGATAAAAGAGCAACACAAGTGATCCTTGTGGTGATGAAATGTTCTGTACCTTCACTATGGTGGTGGACATACAAACCTTACATGACAAAACTGCATAGAACTAAATGCAGAGAAACACAAATGAATACCAGTGATGAATAAGAGCATGGATTATATCAACATCAATATCCTGGTTGTGCTATTTTAGCGTAGTTTTACAAGCTGTTACCATTGGAGGAAATCGAGTAAAAGGTATCACTCTGTATCATTTCTTACAACTACACGTGAATCTATAATTATCTCAGAATAAAATTTTTAACTGAAAAAAAATAGCTACTGCTAGCTTGCATTAAGGATGCTTTTTAAATCTAGATTAAAGGATGCTATTTATAATACATGCCCTTTCAAACTCACCAAAATTGGGAGGGTTACAGAGAGATGGCGAGGCAGCGTCTGGGCTCATGCTGTTATTTTCCATCGAAGTTGAGTAGTTCATCATCTCAGGGGTGTTTGCCAAACTGGATTCTCCTCGTGGCACAACTGCTGGATTCTCATTGTAGCAGAACTGCTGTTGGGAAGCCTGAGAAGATGAGATAACACTGCTGGTACTTTTGGCACCTTTGCTGCAAAAGCAGGATAGGATAGCAAGACCAGAAAATAGACTGTCTAGTGAGCTGTAATGAATATGTGGGGACAGTTTTGGAAAGTGGTAGACTCTCCCTGAGGACTGGCTGCTGCAGTTCAGGGAGTACTGCTGACTGAAGAGACGTTCCTACAGGGTTGGTCCAGGAGGCATGGTTTTCCTGCCTTTGCACTGGTAAAGATGGGCTACAATTTCCCTGTCCAGGGTAAGAGAACAGAGTGGGTTAAGTTCTTCTCTTTGGTTCCTACATTTTCTCCATGAGGTATACACTCAAAACATTTTCGTGCAAATCCAAATGACCTCTAAACTGACACAAATCTAGTATAAATCATCTGTGAGTAAAAATTAGAATGAACAAGTTGGTAAAAGCATTAATAGCTATTTTCCTTGCAACATCGTTTTCCAAAGTTAAGGATAAATGCTGAATTTGTATTATATGGTTTTTATTCCTTTCTATTCAACTCTACATTCTAATTGAATTTTCTACATTATAGCTACAAACAAAAATATTCAGTATCATAATTTCTCAAAACTAAATTTCACCATTCTTTCAAAGAGGTTTAGTCTCCCATCTGCTTCTAAAGTAAGTACAGATCAGACTTGCCAATCTCACAGTTATTAGCTCTCTCTCATTTCTGATTGGGATCTTTAGCAACTTGAGGTTTAACACAGTACTAAAAATCTTTTTATAACACTTACATTGATTGAAAATGATGGTTTCTCCCAAGAATGTTGCATTTTTGAAACGATTCCACACAGCTGGTTAACCTGCCTATTTGTACTCTTAATAAGGTCTTGCAAACCCTATAATAATAAAAAACATTTTAGTATCTCCAATTTCAAAATAAAAGTAGCATATAAGAAAATACCATTAAGCCAAATTTTAACTGCTAGAAAAAAAATTCTCAAGTTGTCATAAATTCCTTGTTTCCCACTTGATATCTGGTTACTGGTGACATAAGGAGCCCAACCTCTTGTACAACTACTCCATGTCACACAGGCATTTTAAGAAGCTTTAATTTCAGAAAGTAAATGTACCACAATTCCTATAACCATTACATTTATGATGGAGTCATTTTACATCAAAGAAGGTGTTATTTTATGAAAGATATTTTCTCATCTGCTAAAAAACCGAAGAGCTTCTTTCCATATGATGGCGGCATGAACTAATAGGCAGTGAGCATTCCACTCTGGAAAGAACAGTGAGCCAAATAAAACAGACGTGACTGTTAGCTTCAAAGTATTTTAAAAGCATGTTATCAACAATTAACCTCGTAAAGTCTTTGAGTACACATTCCCTATATGCCAATCAGGATGCGACTGAATAAAACGTGAAATACACAGAAATTTCATTCAGGCAAAAAAATACACTTAAATAAGAGGCTAGGACCATTTCCTCATTCATTCATTCCAATAAACATTTATTGAGGGCCTACCACCTGTCAGAACTACTATACTAGATGCTGGGAACATAGACATTAAGAAAAAAAAAACAGCTCCTATCCTAACCAACTCCCATTTTAGTTGGAGAGAGGGACAAGTAAAGAGATGATTTCAACAGAGAAAGTGATTGGCAGCCTGGAGCAGTGGTTCTCAAAGTGTGGACCATTGACCAGCAGCATCAGTCTCACCTACTAGCTTGTTGGGAATGCAAAATCTCTCACCCCAGACCTAAGGAACTGGGAACTCTGAGAGTGGGGCAGTGATCTTTGTTTTTACAAGCCTCCCAGGTGATTCTGATGCACGATTCAAGCCTGAGATCCACTGGCCTATAGCACTGAGGTAAGTAATGCAGGCTCTAGGGGAACACAGTTGAGTTTAAATACTACAGTTCTGCCATATTGTTTCTGTGACCTTGGTCAAGTTACTTTACTTCTCTGTGCTTTGATATCCTCATTTATAGAATTAGGATGAAAATCTCAGAATTCTCTTGAAGACTAAATAAGGTGCTATAGTATTATGTTCATATTAACATAATAGTAACTACTATATGATGACTGGCCCAACAGTGCTCAGTCATCTATTATTATTCTTATTACCAGTGACATGACACAGGTAAGAACGGGAAGTTAAGTGTGCACAGAAAAAAGGGACCTAACTCAGGCTAGCAGTCATGGCAGGTTTTTCAGAGAAGATATCTGTGTTGAGAATTAAAAGATGAGAAATTGCTCTCCAGGGGAAGATGCATGGAAGGGCAAACAGGGCAGAAGAAAAAGCATATTCAGAAATATCAAAGCATGAATAAGCATAATATATTTAGGAAATGATTTAAAGTTTAGTGCAAAGTATGAGATTTAGAGGGAAAAGTGCTGGGAAAGGAGGCTGGGGAGACAAGTTGTATCACAGTTAGATTTTTACCCTGAGAGCAATAGAAACTCAAGCATGGGAAAGACATGAGGCAGACTCATTTTTAGAAAAGATTAAAATGAAAATAATGAGGGTCTAGATCAAGGTCATGATGGTTAAGATGGAAAAGAAACTGGTTTTTATGACACTAAGAAGAAGGAACCATCAGGACTTGGTAAATTGGAAAGAGGGGAAGAAACTAGTCAAGGACAATGTCTGGATTTCTGGCTTAAACAATTAAGGAAATGATGGTGCTTAACTTGAGGGAGGGCATGTAGAATAGATGATTTTGTACATTTAACTGCCTGCTGGAGAACATTATAGAGTTCTCCAGCAGGCAGTTAGACACATGCATGCTTCTGGGGCTGTGGAGAGCAGCATAGGCTAAAGACATAGATTTGAAAGTCAGAACTGTACTGAATCAAAACCTTTGGTGAATAGGGAATGGTTCAAGTAGATTCAGACTGAGCAAAGGAGCAATTGTAAAAAACAAATAAACTTAGAAAAGAAAGATGTAATTTCAAAAACAGAAGAACACTTATAACAATCCAAATCGTATGCTCAAAGAGATTCAGGTTGATATCACACATCAATAAAACAAGACTATAACACTATAAAATAAAGACAATCAGAAAATAAAAACAAATTACTGAAAAATTTAAATATGATTTACTCTGCCAAAAAACATTAATAGAACATCAGGAAAATAAAGTCAAGGGTATTTCTCAGAATACCATGCATAGGTAGGTCAAAGAGCCAGAAAATGAGATAAACATTAAGCAACATGGATGATGTAGAAATTGTCACATCCAATTAGAAGTCATTCCAGATAGAGGGAATGGAGTGTATGGAAAGGAGGAAATGGAGAAAAAAAATTCTACCAGAGCGAAAAAATGACACAAGAAGGGAGGGGCAAGATGGCGTAGAGCATAGAAGCGTTGTTCATCTCTTCTTGGAAACACACCAGAAATGTGAAGAACCACAGAGCAAACAACAAGCAGAGTCACCTGGGGTCTGTATGAACAGAGGCATTGCAACTAGGGAGAGACATAAAAAATCACCCTGTAACCATAGGACAGGGCAGAGACCCAAGGCTGCCCGGTCCCATGTGGCTAAGTGAGCCAGAGGCTGTGATAGCTACAGCCGGCAGATGCAGACATTCCTCTTACAGGGGCCATGACAGCAACGGAACATTAGCGGTGACAGACTTGCTTGGTCTGAGCTCCAACGCCAGTTCACCTGCTCGGGAGGCACCAGGGACATAAGGGGGCATGCTGAGTTGTCGGGCTTCAGGAAAGGACTGGAGGTGAGGTTTTCTCCCAGAAAGAAGTGTTGGCAATATCCATTGATCCTCTGTTGAGCCCTCCCCCTTCCCAGTGTGCAGACTCAACACCACCATAGCTGAGACATCATTGAACTCTGCTCATCAAAAATTGCAGCTTTACCAAAGCCACATCTAGTAGGATCCTTGACATGCCCTGTGCTCCTTGATGAGCAGCTCAAAGCCCCACACTGCTGGCACCTGGCCTTAGTTCCTGGCATGGCCTCCTGAGGCAACTATAAACACAGCACAGATATCAGATTTCTTGGTGAATCTTAACAGGTGGCCCCGGAGGGGCACAGGCTGGGACTAAACTTGGCCTGCACCTGGACCCCTCTCGGACTGTGCCACTGGACATCTACTACACAAAGCCACACTAATGAGACCAGGGAGACTCAGGAGCTTTGCTTAGTACATAGAAACAGACACAGAAAAGCAGCCCAAATAGAGAGACAAAGAAGTATGTCCCATATGAAAGAACAGAACAGAGCTCCAGGAAAAATGGAATCAAGCAAATTACCAGATGCAGAGCTCAAAACACTGGTTATATAGATGCTCAATGAACTTAGGGGATGAGTAGATGAACTCAGTGAGAACTTCAACAAAGAAATAAAAAAAAACCCATAAAAATAGAGATGGAAATTATACAAGGGAACCATCAGAAATGAAGAATACAAAATCTGAGATGAGCGTATATTAGAGAGAATCAACAGAGTGGAGAAAGTGGAGGATTGAATCACTGATATATAAAAGATGGAGTAGCGGAGGACACCCAATTAGAATGGCAACCAAAAAAAGAATCCAAAATAATAAAGATAATTTAAGGAGCCTATTGGATAACATCAAATGTAACAATATTTGCATTATAGTGGTACCAGAAGGAGACAACAGAGAGCAAGAAGTTGAAAACCTCCCTAACTGGTAAAGGAAATAGACATACAAAATCTTTGACGTGATGAAAACCCAGGGTCTACAACCAAGAATACTTAATCCAGCAAAGCTATCATTTAGAGTTGAAGCCAGATAAAAATAAGCTAAACGAATTTTTCCCCACCAAGCCAGTATTATAGGAAATATTGGAAGGACTTCTTTAAGAAGGAAAAATATGTATCAAAAACAGGAAAAAAGAATGGTAACAACTACATTCCTATCAATAAGTACCTTAAATGGAAAAGAATTAAGTGCTCCATCGGATTAAAAATGGTGGCGTGAGAGAAATTCCCAGATCGCTCCCCTTGAAACAACAATAAGCTGAACACCTAAAACTCAACAAAAAACATCCAAACTGTACACCAGCACATCTGAACATGGGATCTGTGCATAAAAGCTACCACAGGTCAGAACCCCGGGTGTCAGGCAGTGGACTGGGAGGAACAAAGAAGCTGCCTCGTGCAGCTGGAGCTCCCTATAGGAGGAGGGGGAGGGGAGAAGGAGTGGTGGTTTCCCTGAACAGCCCTACCTGAGAGTGCTGTGAGTTCCATGTGGCCAGCGGCAGTGCCCAGTGATCAGGGCAGAAGGCAGAGAAACAA